CCTCCTCCTCCTCCTCCTCCTCCTCCTCCTCCTCCTCCTCCTCCTCCTACTCCTCCGCCTCCACCGCTTTCTCCTTCACCTTCTTCCTCCTCGTCCTCCCTGTCCCTTGCAGACAAGCTCCTCCCGGTCGTGCCCCCGGACGTGTCGATAGGGCGGGCCGGGCGTTTCGCCCCAGACCCCAGACCCGCCCAACCGTTTGTGATACTAGTGTTTGAACGGTCTCTCCCTCGTGGCTGGTGCCTCGCCTGGTGGAGTTCCCCTTCCCTCCGTGGGAACGCTGGCAATTTTCATCATCGCGCATTGACTGTATGGGAAAAATGCGGTTTGAAGTGTGCAGCAGTTACAAGGACTGAGGGCGGGCCGTTTTCAGCAGGAGGCTCCTGCTCCAGCGCTGCGCAGCTGCGTGGTGAAGCCTTGCGCCAGCTGCAGGGATGCAACACCGGTCGCTTTCTGTTTCACACGGCGTTCGCCCTTTCAGCGCCGCGCGCATTCGCTGTAAACGCTTACGCCAGGCACACTGAGGAAACACAGGTGGTTATCAAATCGAGGCTCCAGCTTTGCGCCGCACGGAATTCTTTTAAAACATTTGCAACAGTTACCAGGATTGGGCACAGGTGGCTTCCAAAATGCTGATGAGGCGCTAGCGCCGCGCACGCTCGTCTTATCAAGGCTTGCAACAACTGTTGGGATGGAGGGCGGCTCTATTTCGAAACAGAGCTCTCGCCTTAGCGCAGCGCGCATTCGTCTTGACAGCTTGCTGTGCACCTACAAGAATGGAGGCCAGTTCCTTTTTGAAAGTAGGGCTCTCGCCTCAGCGCTGCGCACATTCGTTTTACAGACGTTAACAGCTAGGGGTATGAATGGCGGCTCCTTATCAACACTAATTTCTCGCGTAGGTCTAGAGGACCAGAAAGTTGAACCTCTGCAGCGACTGCACAGATGCAGGGCGCTCCCTTTTCAAAAGGGGGGTCTCGATTGAGGTTTCCTCAAAAGCTTGACGTGGAGCTTTGTGCAACAGTGACACAGATGGGAGCCGCCATTTCTCCAAATGTGGACATCCGGAGGAGGAGGAGGAGGAGGAGGAGGAGGAGGAGGAGGAGGAGATGTGCACTTCGTCGGGCTGTATGACCATACCTTTTCGCTGTTGCCACTGCTCACGAGAAGGATGCAGATCAGTTGCTTCTCAGCACGGGGCTCTCGCCTGAACGGCAGGCCCATCGGGAGCTGGCCTTCCACGGGGGGCGCTGCTTGCAGTGAAGAGGAAAGCTTATGGGGACTTGTGAGGCAGGGAGGAGGAGGAGGAGGAGGAGGAGGAGGAGGAGAAGGAGGAGGAGGAGGAGGAGCGTCGTTGATGCATCTTGGGCTGACTGTGGTCCTCCTTCTCCTCATTGTCCCCCCCTCCGCGCCCAGGTGACCGTGCTCTCCTTCGCCACCAGCTACGGCACCATCCGCTTCAGCGTGTGGGACACTGCTGGGCAGGAGAAGTTCGGCGGCCTGCGAGAAGGGTACTACGTGCATGCCGACTGCGCCTTGGTGATGTTCGACGTGACCTCGCGGGTGACGTACCAGAACGTGCCGCAGTGGTTCCAGGTCTCCAGGCCTCCCGAATGGGGCCCGAGTGATTGGGGTCAGAGGATCGCGCCGCATCGTCGATGCATCGGCGATGCGGTTCGATGTGGAGCCCGACTTCCCGCACCGACAGCGCCGATACATCGCTGACGCGGCGCGATTCTCCGACCCCATCTACTCGGGCCCCATGTGGGAGGCCTCCACGAGGACGTCCAGAGGGTGTGCGGGAACTCTGTGCCGATGGTGCTGGTGGGCAACAAGGTGGGCCACGGAGCCCCAGAAGCGCACGCAGCCACGCAACTCTCGGATGTCCGCCAGCGGTCCGCCGGCGCCGGCGCCAGACCCTCTGTGTCGGTGATTGTCTTGGGGCTGCCTTGGGCCCCTCTCTCAGGAGGGGAAGAAACACACAGACACAAGTAATCGTCGATTCCCAGAAAATATGGGGAAATATGGGACGTGGGGGGGGGAAGACAAAAAAACCCAAAATATACCCAAAAATATGGGAAAATATGGGGAATATTTTTATTTGTGTGTATTTATCTGTGTGTCCTGGGGCCCCTCTCGGGGGGGTCTTCTTGGGCCATCCTTGGCCCCTGTTGGCGCACTCCTGGGGCCGTCTTTGGCCGCAGGGGGGGCGCCGGCACGTCCTCACTGCGCTCTGGTGGCGGCCCCCTGGGTTGCTTCCCTGGCCACTGCGGCTGGCTCTGCAGTCGCGCTCGCGTCCGCCAGCACTGCCAAAGGAAAAACAATGCTCTGGCCACCCCCTAGGGCGGCTACTTCTGTGCCGACCCCCCCTGGCGCGCAGCGCGCTGCGCGCGCCAGTGGTGGGGCTGTGGGGAAGGGTCCCCGCGCTGGCCGAAGGAGACGTCCGCGCGCGTCCGAGACATAGGGTCAGGAACTTTTGTTTAACGTGTCGCGCCGCCACTTCTGGCCCACCACGCGGCGGCGCGCCACCTGTAACCAGGTCCCGTGCAACCACGCCCCACATGTAACCTCGTCTCTGTTGCGGGAAGCACATGTTAACCACGTCCCAGTACCAAAGCGTAAACGTCCCAAGCTGTTCGCAGCCTCCCGCCCGCGAAGCGGAGCGACACGCAATCAGCTCGCAGGGCATAGCGTGTCGTCAGGGCCGCCGCCGCAACACGCTAAGCAGAAGTTAATAGCTGTGTGTCTGTGAGCCTCTGAGTCCTCCGGAGAGGTAGACGTCGCGGAGCGTGAGCTGAGGGCCCAGCACATCACCTTCCACCGGAAGCGCGGCATAGCATACTACGACGTGAGCGCGAAGAGCCAGTTCAATTTCGAGAAGCCCTTCCTGCAGCTTGCCCGACAGCTGACAGGTAAGAAGGACGGGTGGCCTGATTTCCACGGGCGAGCAGAAACTTACGCTCTGTTGCGGATGACGCGCGGATTTGGGAGGCTCCTAGCCACGGCAGTAGCAGCAGCAGCACCAGCATCGGTAGCCAGCATGGCAGCAGCAGTAGCGGAAGTAGCACTTGTAGCAGGAGCATCAGCAGTTGCTGATCGGAGAAGGTAGGTGGTGGTGTTTGGTGTTGGTGTTGGCTGCGTTGCTGGTCTCAGTGGTGGTGGTAGTAGTAGTAGTAGTCGTAGTAGTAGTAGTAGTAGCAGCAGCAGCAGCAGCAGTAGTAGTAGCAGCAGCAGCAGCAGTAGTAGTAGTAGTAGTAGTAGTGGTAGTAGTAGTAGTAGTAGTAGTAGTAGTAGTAGTAGTAGTAGTAGTAGTAGTAGTAGTAGTAGTAGTAGTAGTAGTAGTAGTAGTAGTAGTAGTAGTAGTAGTAGTAGTAGTAGTAGTAGTAGTAGTAGTAGTAGTAGTAGAAGTAGGAGTAGTAGTAGTAGTAGTAGTAGTAGTAGTAGTAGTAGTAGTAGTAGTAGTAGTAGTAGTAGTAGTAGTAGGAGTAGTCGTAGTAGTAGTGGTAGTAGTAGTAGTAGTAGTAGTAGTAGTAGTAGTAGTGTAGTCGTAGTAGTAGTAGTAGTAGTAGTAATAATACTAGTAGTAGTAGTAGTACTGTAGTAGTAATA